TGCCTGTTTTGGGAGACAGTGAGTTGCAGAATGATTTACTTCTGTTTCTTCTAAAAGTGGAAAAGTACATTTTAAAAGATGTACTTTGTCTGCTCTTGAAATGCATGATTTATTAAGTTCTTTTTTAAGAAACGACTAAAAAGTGACCCCCACCAAAATACTTAATAAGGCAGATTTTAAACTTGGACACGCCACTGCTATGGAAAGAAGTAAAATAGTCCCTCTAGCGTACTGCTGCTGTAACTATGCAAAGGAATATCTGACGTGATTTACTGAAGAGTAGGGCTGCAGGAAATTACAAAATAACGTTTTGGCAAGGGATGGGAAAGTGCTTACATAAAGTGGAGAGTCTGACATACAACAGTAAGTCAAGTGAAACAATACTAAATACCAAGCAAAAAAAAAAAATCTGCTGTTCGAGTAATTCATGAAGGAAAAAGTTAATGTGTAGTGCGAGACCGTTGCTCTTGCCAGCTGTGCCCAAAACGTGAATGAGAAGCAGAGCCACTCGCTGGGGCGCCAGCTGAGGTGTGCTTCCTCTTGCAGGGCCGCAGATTTGAATTTCATGTCATATTTTGCATAAAGTGGCTATACACTGAAAAACAAACTTGGATGTTCACATCTTCTTGAAGTGAGCGTGGCTTTGATGTGACTTCTAAAGAGTTGCTTAACCTCTGTCTGACGGCATTAGTGCAAAGGAGCTATATTGAGGCAGGTGCAGTTGGGGCTTCCTTTTACGCATGAAAGCCTCTTGCTAACATCTCCCAATTTCAGGTTGGCTGCAGGAGAGTCATAGAGTTACTGAGCTTTCCAGCGTGAAGGGATATAGTCGTTGCAGGATGTTTTGGGATAGAAACGTTCCTTTTTTCATGTGTCGTAGCTAGCCAGAACATAAATACGAGTCTTTGCTCAGTACCTAGTTTTCACTGCCTGTTCCTGCTAAGAGTGTGTGTGCAAAGGCCCTGCAGCCCTTTGTACAGTTTTTTTGTTGCAGAGCAGTGCCAGCCACAGAAGCCCTGTTGTTCTGGACTTTGTACAAGCAAGGAGTGCTACTTTTGCACTTAAGCTAAGATCCAGTTTAGCCTCATTCAAAGGTACAGGAGCATTTGTCGGAGTCCTTGCTGTGGAAGAGAACTGGGCAATCATTTAGGGTTAAATGGGTAAAACGGAGTAAAGCTTCGCTGAAAGGAAGAGAGCAAGACAAAAAAAGCATGTGAAAAGCATTAAATTGAATGTTACGGACTTTCATGTGTGCGGTACACTGTAATTTTGGAGTTCAGAATTGCACTATATAATATAGCTTTCCTCACGTCAGCTGTACAGGGCCTCAAACCAGAAGTGTTCTGAAAAACTCCCGAGTCTTTATTTGTCAGTTTGTTGAAAATCAGACTTTTTGCTGGGTTTAGTTTGATTGTTTTGTTGAATGTCTATTGAAACTCACTGTTTTTTCTGACAAGTCAGCCCATACGTAACTGTGACCTTCCCCATGGACCTAGAAATACGGGAACTCTTAAGCGTTCCTGCAGTGGCTCAGAACCAAAGAGCTGAAATTTCATGTGAAAGGAGGATCTTTCTTTGACCCACTTCACGTGGGAGCAAATACGTTTACACGTATGTGATGTTGAAATAGTGTGTTGACCAGAAGTGGTAGTTTCACATACGATTACTTGTGTAAGTATTCCTGACGTTTTCTCAGAATTCTTTAAGGAAACCGCAGCAGCAAGAACAAGACCCCTCAGTAGAAACAGTTCTGTTTCTCGGCAGAGCGCTGTTTTAAGCTGTCCTTTAATAGGAGTGGTCAATGGGCAAGCGTTACCTTCTATTCTGTGGAAGTTATGTCTGTTTTCAGTTATGTATTTTAATCTTAAATACACACTGGGATGGTTAATGGTCTTCAGTTCTTAATTGTTTTGTTCTGAAATAGAGGAATAGCGAGCTCTGCCCATTATCTTTCCCCTTTTGTGATGCCAGCGTGGCCGCGCTTTATCATGTACTTCTGGAGAACATGGTGTCTCTGAGATACTGACTGCTGTTGCGATGATTACCATTTTCTTCTTAGCGGATTATCCAGTGTTCAGTTTTTGACAGAAATCTGCCCGTTGGCTTCCTGCCATTTTAGCTTGCTCTTCCTGTAGTGGCAGACCTTTTCCATTCCAAGAACAGTGAAAATTACTAGTCGTCTTTTGTTTTCTCTAGCCATATAGTTCCTTTCTCTCTCCTTTTCTGTGTGTGCATGTTCTCTTAAACACTTTCTGGGCTTCCTCAGTGTGTGTGTGTTTTGTTGCTCCCTCTGCACCCCTGCCCCCCCAAATGAAGGTTTCGCATCAGTTCCTGAAAAAGTTTTTCTATTCCTCTTAATTGTCCTGGTTTCGTCTGGGATAGAGTGAATTTTCTTCCTAGCAGCTGGTACAGTGCTGTGCTTTGGATTTAGGATGAGAATAATGTTGATAACACACCGATGTTTTAGTTGTTGCTACGCAGTGCTTATACTAAGTCACGGACTTTTCAGCTTCCCGTGCCCTGCCAGCGAGAAGCTGGGAGGGGGCACAGCCAGGACAGCTGACCCAAACTAGTCAGAGGGATATTCTATACCATGTG